ATGTGATGTGTAGACTAGACTTTTTACAGCTGAGAAACACGGTGGTGTGACACACAGACACACACTTCTATCTGTGGCACTGCTCTCCTAGCTGTCAATGTCGTGTCTCAGGAAAGGGTTGTGGTTTCTTTGAAACATATTTGGCAGTATGAGAACTTATGTTGCTTTTCTAGATGAGACTGGAGAAACACACACCCCTATTGTTCAAACATATTTTTATTTTCAGCAGTCTGTCTTTGTTGCTCATACCAAAGCCCAGGAGATAAAGCCAGAATGTAAAAAATGCTTGTTCCTTTTTTTTTCCTTCTTGTCTCGCTCTCTGTGTTATGATTGCAGAGCTCTTCACTATGTCTGATCTTATTACAGATAAATGCAGATTTATGCATTACCATTTGCCGTATCGATGGCAAGTATATAATGGGATCACCTGGAATGACCTTTCCATGATGGAGGAAATTGAAAAGGCCTATTGTGACCCAAAAAACAGCAGGTATAATGATGCTGGACTGCTTGCTTAGAGTACTGTGGTTGAGCCCTTGAGGAAAAACTCTTGTTTTCTTCCTAAAGATGTCTGACTTCCATAACTTCTGATTACTGAGCCTCTCAGAATCTGGGAGGATGTACAAATGAGATTTTTTTCTTTTTAAAAAGAAAAGTAAAAGTGATTGCATGGAAATATCACCCCATTTTTGTCTTCTAAAAGTAACACAACGATATCTTGTGTTTAAAACTCTATACAGGATAAAAAGAGGTGGGTGGAATTTAGTGCTTAGAATATTAGTATTTCAGATAATGAGTTACAATTTATTTATAATAATTGGGCCTTTTAAGAACAGTTCAGAGCTGGTCCTTCTCTATGGCTATTCCTTTCCTAATGCAGCTAGTATCTATAATAATAATATACTAATATCTGTAATGTGCCTAGAGGAATTTTATAAAATGCCCTTTGTGTAAGCAGCCCATCTTTCCTTTTTTTTCTTTTTTCTTTTTTTTTTTTTTGAGAGAGAGTGCATTTTCCCTTTAACTCCTTTCTGAAAGCCTCACTGTAAGCCACCTGGATTCATAGGGGACCCCAAGTTTGGCCTCAATGAAGTGGTATAGTCATTTTGGCCCATGCCTCTTGAGACAGCAGGTAATTTTGATTTGTAGCTTGACTAGGCTGCTGGATGGTGCAAATCACAAGGAAGATTCCCAAGAGGAGGCTGCTTTCAAAGTCCTTCTGCCTGAGAGTTAATTTTTCAAGCCTCCTAGGAATAAAAGCCCATGTGGCTCCAGTGATGAATGCTATTTACAGAGCTCACAGCTGTGATTGCATCCTCTGTAACCACAGAAAGACAACAAAGTTGATAAACTGCAGGTGTTTGCTGGCAAACTTAGTCATGTACTTGCCAACTTCCATTTTTGTGCTGAGAAAAACTGTAACCATGCTTATTTATTGCAGAAATACCTTTTGTCACATTGTATGTGTTGCCCCAGACTGTCTGTAAAGCTGGCAGTGCCACATCTGGCTAGCGACTGAGATGGCATTCAGTGTCTCCCAGGCCATAGTTCACTTCTGAAGACTGGAAACAGTTTTCAGAGCTGCCATGCATGCTGTGGGAAATACTCTTATTTCAGGCCTAATTAAGTTCAGGCAGTCACATTATATTAAAGAAAATTGCACCAGCTTAAACTAGGGATTAGAGGATAAAATATATACTGTTAACTATAATAAACCTGAATTTGTCCTTACAGCATAGCAGATAGGAACATTAATTTCCAGACAATGACCTGCTCTTCTTCTTCGCTTCGACGCCTCTCTACACCATCGTCAGTCACAAAACCCACATTTGTACTGACCACGCAGTGGATTTGGTATTGGAAGAATGACCAAGGCCAGTGGATTGAATATGGAGACCAGGTGAGTCCACATCCTGTGCTTTGAATCACTTCTGAAGAAATGTGTGGAGGCTCTTCCCCTTACTCCCCTTTACTCAGCAAGGTTAATTAAGTAAATAGTTGTGCTTGAATTTTACAGTGTCCAGTAAGGCAATGAAGCTACAGATGTTCATAACAGATGTGATAAAATGATGACAGGCTGGAGGGGAGGGAACATGCCTTATCTCCTTGCAGTGAGGTTCAGTACGAACGATTGTCTGTCTTTGTGTCTGGATGATTTGTTATAACTACTTTCCTGACAAAGACCGTGTTGGCAAATGCAGGAAAGCAAAATTCCTTTTTTTCAGCTTGTGTTGATCAGACTGTTTTTGATGATGCATGCTGGCTTCTCTAGTCGGATTCCCTTTTGGAGTTGTCCATGGCTTCTACGCAGATTTAACATGTATACACTGTCCTTGAGATATCTCACCTTTTAAATTATTCAGGAAGTAGTCCTGCCTCTCTTCTAAGCATTGTCCTGCTTCCTTGGACATGCGAGGATTGCTCTGCTCTCTCAGATCAAATGTTACCTTTTTCCTTCGGTGGCCAAATCCTCTTTGATGAGAGAATGATGATCTATCTGAAAAATGCAGGGAAAGAAATAAATAAGGAATCTCTCCTTCCCCCAAGGCAGATGAGTTTTCCCTGTCTGGTTTACAGTATAGCTGTACAAATGGCAGAACACAAAGGTGATCCAGGGATGTGGAAAGGTAGGCAGGGAAAGATGATGGATATAGTGGCTCTGGCAATGGTGGGCCTTGATTTCAGTAGGCAGCTTAAATGGAAAGCATCTCCATCAGTGTACCCTCATATTTTACGTTGTTTTGTACATTAGAGAATTATACTTAATGCAAGTATTACGTTGTTTAACCCAGGTGTCGCAGAGCCGACTACACCAGTTTGTTGTGGGGGAGATTTTTAGACCGTTTAAAGAATGATCACCAAAGGTAGCAGCAAAAGTAGTTTTACTGAAGTAGGATGTCGTAAAAGTGAGACTTAACAAAGTCTGATGGCAAGGTTCACTCCATTACTTACTGCACAAAGGATATAATAATAATTCAAAGTTACCAATACAAAATCTTAGTACACTGTAATACCAGATTATACGCTATATTGGTCACGTACCAAAGATCTGCAGTTGGTAAGGGTCTCTCAGCCTCAAGGAGTAACCTTGAGAGCCGTCCCAGCTCAAGGGCAGATCACCGCTGTGCAGCCTGCTCCTTAGCCGGGAGAGCTCAAAAAAGCCTCGCCCGGGCTCTCATATTTATGGAATAAAGTGGTTGGCTCGTAGTCAAATTACATGCGATGGAAAAGGTAAGCATGAGGCTCCTTGTACCCACAACATTCTTTGTTCCTTGACAAATTAGTCTTGGAAGAACCACTTGCTATTCATGTGTGAATCACATGATCTGTGTTCCAGTTTCCAAGCTCATACGCATCAATGCTCACTGTGTCACCCTGTTCCTGTGTGGATTTTCAGAGAACAGGTTGGTGCTAGAGAAGTTCTTGGCCTGGTCATGGCCTAGCCTTCCTTTGGAGCCTGAACCAAAATAACACTAGTTTGGTCAAGGAGTCGAGTGCATCTGTCACACCTGGCCGGCAACTAAGCCCCACACAGCCACTCGCTCAGTCACCCCCAGTGGGATGGGGGAGAGAATCGGAAGGGTAAAAGTGAGAAAACTCGTGGGTTGAGATAAAGACAGTTTAATAGGGAAAGCAAAAGCCACGTGCGCAAGCACAACAAAACAAGGAATTCATTCACTGCTTCCCATGGGCAGGCAGGTGTTCAGCCATCTCCAGGAAAGCAGGGCTCTATCATGTGTAACAGTTACTTGGGAAGACAAACACCGTAACTCCGAACGTGCCCCCCTTCCTTCTTCTTCCCCCCGCTTTATATGCTGAGCATGACATCATATGGTGTGGAATACCCCTTTGGTCAGTTGGGGTCAGCTGTCCCGGCTGTGTCCCCTCCCAAGTTCTTGTGCACCCCCAGCCTCCTCGCTGGTGGGGTGGCGTGAGAAGCAGAAAAGGCCTTGACTCTGTGTAAGCGCCGGTCAGCAGTAATGCAAACGTCTTTGTGTTGATAACATGTTGTGTTATCAACACAATAACGTTGTGTTATCAACAGTGTTTTCGGGACGAATCCAAAACATAGCCCCGTACTAGCTACTAGGAAGAAAACTAACTCTATCCCAGCCCAAGCCAGTACAACTTGTTACAGAAATTTCAATGGGATACATGTGTGTCCATCATACTAATTACGTATTTGTGTGTGTGTTATGAGTGTTCGGTAATCGTGCTTTAGGCCACGACAGTTCTAGGTAGATTCCTCTTCATCCTACTCTTTGCCTCTTCTTTCCCTCTACCCAAACTAGTTATCCAGGGTTTAGTACTGACTGTGTTTACTCATTACTCTTCTCTCTCTTTCCCCCCCACCCCAAAGGGAGAAGGGGATAGTGGGAACTCGCCATCTTCTGACATTATTGAGAACTTGTATCTAGCAGATCCAGATGCCATCGTGTCTTTCCAGGCTGGCTTGTATGATTACCAGCTCAGTTTTAAAGGTACTCATTTTAAAGGTTCTCATTTACAACTACGCAGTGCTTTACAAAGACTAACTTGCAAGCTATCCCAGCTTTTAGAAGCTATGACTTCTTTCACTGACACTACCGGATTTACTGATTGGAAGGGGAAGTGAGGTAGTGATGGCCCAGAGGAAATTCCTTACAAAAGTAACCTTCCCCCTTATTCTTTGACACTATCCAGATGCACATTGGATCAGAAATTAAAAGATCCGTAGGCTTCACATAAAGTCACAGTAAACCTTAAGTAAAGTGAGATAACCCTGTGGATGGTAAAAATGAAAAATCAAGCATCTTTCTGTGCTGCTGGAGCAACATTTAAAGAGCATGAATGACTTAAGGGAGCAAGCAAGATAGGCACAGGTTAAATAACAATTACAGGAAGGACAAGAAGCTTACATAGGCTTTGTGCAACTATTCTTCCGCAGATAGAATTGACAATGAATATTAATGAATATTTTCATTAATGAATGACTGTCATTAATGACCCCATCTTGTAGACTTATTCGTGACTTTTTTCTTCTCTTTTCTCCTCAAGAAATGACCCAGACAAACGTGGTTTTTAAAACTCGAAGACAGGTCTGCAGGCGACCAAAGTTTTTTTCTTCTGAAGATGTGCAGAAGATAAAGAAAGGGTAAATGATGCTCTTTAAGTTTTGGGTTTGGTTTTTTTTTTTTTAAATCCCGTATTTCAGAAGTAATTGTAAGACAAAATGGCTGCCAGTGTTGGCAGTAATTGTGCAAAGAACGCAGCTGTTGCTAGAAGAAAACACACCCATTTGACTGAACAGAAGCTGTATCACAAACTGTCGGCTTGGTGCATCACCTGGTTTCTGGGGTACATGTTACTCCAGGTACCACATCCACAGGACTGGTGAAGAAACAAGTGGAAGAGGCCTGTGACAATTGAATGGCAGCATGCAAAGCCCAGCTCACAGAATGAGGCCATTTCCCAGTTTCTTGTGGTTTATTTTGTTTATTTTTAAATGTAGGAATTGGCCAAAGGGGATGCTGCCAATTTGAATGTTCAGAGCAGGACTAGAATTACTAACACCTTGCTTTGTCTGTTTGCAAACAGCCAGAGGGATTCTTCTATTCCAGATCAAGCCTGTCCTACCCACTGGGATCAATCTGCACTGCCTGAGTTGGGATACAAGGTATCTTAGCTTTTTTCTTTTTTTTTTTTTCTTTTTTTTCCCTCTTGTAATTCCGATGGAAAGGCACGATTCAAAGAAGAACGCTGCTTAACTGAAGCAATTGTAACTGGGTAGATGCTAAAAAGTGACAGGAGTGACTTCTTGGGTGGGTATGCTAAAGATCTAGGTGATCTCCCAAGAGCTCCTGAAAAAGGTGCCAAATTCCCATGAACTTCATCTGCGTTTTAGGCATCTATTCACATGCAAAAACAAAACTCACCAAATTCAAGACAAAAAGATTCACTGTTAAAAATGAAAAAATGGCTTACCTTGGTGACTTGGTGGACCAGTTAAGCAAGGAGCTTCTATGAAGCTCCTCTTCTTCACCAGAAGCTGGGCTGAGACCAAACCCTTTCTGTGTAGGCCATTAAAAAGCCATCCAATAATAATACCATCATGGCTGTTGGTGGATAAAGTTTGGGTTGGAGACCTAAGAAAGGAAATCTCTATATGTTCTTTCAAGTCACCCAGTACTGTCACATACATCACAGATCTAAGCACAGACCATGGCCCCAAGGAATGGCAGAAATAGAGAGTTACAGCCCAGAATATCAAAAAACATTTGCAGTGATCTCTTCAACAAACCAAACCCCTGCCAGTCCAAAGTCTGTGTTCCTATTTGGTCTACCACAAGCAAAAATGTGCAGGTGTTTTTTAAATTACTAGGTCTAACGGTATTAAGAAGCAGTCCTTCTGGAAGAGCAACACAGGCTCTGAAAGTACTACATTCTGCTAGAAAAAAGGCTTTTCACTGTTACGCTTGCCCGTTTTTGTAGTGGTTTTGATCCTGATTAAGGAACAGCACATAATGAGGAGCATAAGAGGTCTTCCTTGTTGACTGTGTCACAAAATCTTGTATGATGCTGACCAAGTTGTATCGGCACAGATGTCTTGATGGCGAGGGACAGGTCAGAAGTAATATCATATTTCCAGAATTCTTTCCGGCTACTTTTGGTTGACAGGGAGCTCCCTTGCTATTTTCACTCTTCGTATTTTATTTTCCCTAGTGTAGTTACATTGGCAGTGGCATGAGAACCAGAAATGCCATGTCTCTCAGCTTCCGTGGGCTGGTTTCCATTATTCTGCTTTGTGGTGAATGTTTCATTTTTCCCTGACTACCCTCTGGTGTTGGATTATGCCTGGCTCAGTGTAATGGCAGTATCTGGCCACGTGTGTATATAGCAAATTCATCTAAATACAGTTCTGATGAAAAATCGATGGGTAAAATTTAAGTCAACTGCTCTGTACATTAGCTCCCTTCAAAGAGCTGTTTTTTCACAATTAGCAAAAAACCCCTAATTTTTCAAGATTGTGAAAGTGTCAGGTGTCCAGTACCTGCTGAATGAACTAATAATGAGTTTGTGTGGGAATCTGGCAGCCAGACCTTTTGAAGATTTGGGCCTGTGATATTATGAGCTCTGTCAAAATAATAAAGGATATAGCTAATAAGCTCTTCCCTTGGCTTATCAGCAGCCTAACTGATTAACATAAGCTTAAATTTTTCAAAAGAATGCAAGGAAGACAGGTAGCTCAGTTCTTTTTAGGTCTCAGAGTTGCACGTACTTAACTGCTTCCCTTATTTACCCTGAAAACTTCAGTCTGAATTTCAGTTGAGCCCATTTGTTTGGGCGTTTCCAGAGCCACTGAGGTGAGTGTGAGAGGCTTTGGAATGCGATGTGCAGATCCATGGTGTCGCTGGTGGTACTTGTGGGGACGCGTGAAATAGAAGGATCACCTTGTTTCCCAGAGCTCGGTTTGCTTGCTGAGTTGGCACCTAAGAAAACCATTTCTTACCTTTGTAAACTGAATGCCTTTCATAGGAAAGGAAAAGTTAATTCTGTACCTAAAAAGTGGCAAAGCCCACAGTACCTGTTGGCGCGAAAAGTGAAAGTCTGGGCTAGATTAAATATTTCTGTGGGACTCTAAGCTTGTTTTTTTGCAGTAGGTAATATTGGGACTGGCTGGGATTCTGCATGCATGTGGTGACCATCGTAACATCTGACAATTACGACTTGATGAATTCCCTTCTCTTCAGACATTGACAAATAATCCTGGCAAAATTTGCTGCGCTGGAAGTGATCCATTTTAAAAAGGAACACCTATTTGAGATAGGGAGAAAGTCATCTTTGCTTAAAAAGAGCAGCTCTGTTTTGGTAACATTGCTTATTTTTTGAGTGTTGCAGTGTCTTAATCTGTAAACTGTTTAGAATCATAGTTCTATAGAAAGTAGAGTGTATGAAATGCACAAGGGAAATCGGTAACACCAGTTGAAAAGTTGGTGCAGATCTCTTCTGTCTTTTGGTTCACAAAGTGGAATTAGTAGTTGGTAAACCTTTTAGAGGCAAAAAAAAAGGAAATTATATTGTCTTGGAACTTCATGCTGGGTTTTAAATTGTATCTTTGATGTACAACTGAGAAATGTGTGCAATGACTGTGTGTTTTTATGTCCGAGGATGTCTTTGTGTGCCTGCTATGTTGCTGAATCCTGACACGCGTGCCAAAGATTGCTGTGCTGTAACAGAATGGGAGCTGATGCAACGTGAAGAGTCTTATCTGTATACTTCATAGACATTAGTTCTAGTTGGGTCACTGTCACTAGACAAACTATGCTCCTTCCAAAACCTAAGTTAGCCGGAGATTACGGTTTGTTATCGGAGTACTGTTCTTTGTACGATCATATGCTCATAGACATTATTGTCAGGGCAGCGGTTCTTTCTCTGCCTCAGAAACTCCACTCCTTGGTAGTGGGTTAGCAAATGCTTATCCTCTCTAGGACTTTCCTTTTTAGGTCTGAAGATGAAAAGAGCTAAAGAAGTTATGTCGCTGTGAAGTATCAACCTGCAGTAGCAATGTGGTGTTACCCTTTATTAACAGGGGAAGCGTCCTTGGAGAAAGGAGGACAATCCCACAAAGTTTTTATGCCAAAGAGAACTGGCTTTGTTGCTTGGAGGCCATCATATGATGAAATAATTGAAGTACCTTTCTTACAGGATTAGGCCTTGTACCATGTGGCTGACCCTCTGTTTTACCCAGAAAGGTTACAGTTCCTCAGTAAAAGATGCAACACAGCAAAAGCATATTTGTAGTCTAAATAAGAATTGTTTATGTATCGATAAGAGATGTAGTACTGAAATATAGTGACATAATTTCCATCTTGTAGGTGATGTTGAGCAACTTGAGCTGTGGTGTCACAGAGCACACAGATAATAAACACTCGCCCATCCAAATTGTTTTATGTGTTGTGTTGTAAAGAGGCTTTGCAAAATATTCTTGTATTAAGACATGGGAAATTTCATTCAACCTTGTAAAAGCCTTTTAATAAATTCAAAGAAATAATTCTTCCTTGTGCAGCTGACTTTATTCTTAATCCTTAGAAGACTTTCCTATGATAGGCCTCTTCAGTAAGTATTTAATGTACAAGCTGGACATGGTGTCCAGAAAAACAGTGCTTTATTTATATGCAGCTGTGAAATACAAGTCCTATTTTATCTCCTCTCTAAACTCAGCCTTCTAAAACACGGAGCTTTTGCCTGACGAGTTAAGATCTTGATTTCGTATTACCTCCTAGGATGACCGCAGCTTTCCTGCTTACAAAACAACTTTGATACGTGGGATGTTGGGCATTTCACTGTAAGACATCCCGAGTCCCCACTTGACTTAGGCAGCAGTAAAGTAGGAGGTATTGCCAAGTGACATCAGTCTGCCAGCATTATGCATTTTTCAGTCTAGTTTACAGAAGAGAAGTGTTTGTTCTAGAAGATTCAAGACACAGATTACGCTGGAGAAAAAATTGGAAGGTTTATGCATGACATAAGCAAGCAGAAGAGCTCGAATCATCATGTTTTAATTATGTTTTGCCTTAACTTTTCTTTGGGAAAAATGTGCATTTCTTGATGGATTTTTAAACGTGAAAAGTATCAATTTACATATTAAGTGTCTGTCTTAATTATTCACAAAGTCGCAATCTAAAGCATTAAATTAACCTTCGTAAGTATAGTTTGGGGACCCTTCTGAAAGTATATCTGCTGTAATTGGGCTTCTGCGTGTTACGAGCTAACTGAAGCCTCATGTCTTCTTTTGCTTTGGTTTGTATTTTATAGGCAGTAGACATCAGTAATACAACCTCTGAATACAACACAATAAAGCAGCTGTTTCTTCAGACTATGAAAAGCTACAATGTCCTTAAAATACAGAGGATTCAGAATCCATCCCTCTGGAAGGTGTTTCAGTGGTTAGTATTTGTTTCCTCGTCCTTAAGGGGGGGAAGTCTCCAAGAGCTGGTGTGCTGTTTTTTCTGCCTAGGAAAGGAAAGACGTTACCACCTGTCCTTTAATGTGACCGGTATTTCCTTCTTAGGGGCAGTTTCAGGAGTGAAATTGAGTGTCCAGGGCCTTCCAGAGAATGCCATGCTCCTGGGGGGAGGTTCCCTTTGCGTGACTCCTTGGACGATGGGGGGAGGGGTACGGACAGAAAGACACAAGTGACGCAAAATTGGGATGAGGATAGCCACGGTGATGTGGAACAGCATATTGTCTCAGGGGTTGAACAGTGACTGCCTGCTGCACATGCGTTCTGTCTGTTACTCTAACGGATAAATATTTGTGTATGAAATACTTCCTAGAAAAGAAGTGGGCTAGGATAAGGGTGCTTGGGCCTTTTTTCCCTCCCCCCACCTCTGGCAGTCAGATTTATTTAAGGCTTCTTCAAGAGTTTGAGTACCTTTGCTGAATGAAGTCAGTATTCACCGAGAAAGAGATCATCGAGTTAACGCATAAGGATTCCGAGTTCCAGAGCCCCTTCCTGGTCTTCAACACCTGGATCAGTGATATTGAACTCCAGGTACTTATGCCAAGCTAGATACTAACAGATTGGAGCTGGTGCTCGTGACAGTAAATGACCAGGTTCAGGTTAATTTGGTAGCAGATTAAGCTGTTGCATAGAACAGTTGTCTAGTTTAAAACAAAAGCACAGATACTTAATGGAAGTATTCAAGGACTGTATGGAGTAGTAATGGAGAAGAAAAATACTGCTCAGATAAGTATGTTCACCTGCAAAGTGACTGAACCCAGGAAGTTATCAGCTAACAATTTCATAAAACCTTGTCATCCAGCAAAGCTTAAGACGCTTGAAAACATGTCATAGTGCATACTTTTTCTTTTTCTCCTCCTCCAATGAGATAATTGAGCTAACCAGGCAAAGTTTAACATTGCCAAGTTTTCAACAAACAAATTTCAGGCCGCTGCTCTTAACTTTTCATTTACGCAGTTTTACAAGTTGGAAGGATTCTCCCCTCTCCCCGGCTCTGTTTACTTTGTAGCTGATAGCTAGACTTCCTGAAGAGTATTACTGCTTCAACAGCTGCTGAAAACCTGTGGGATGTCTGGATGCTGTGAAATAGTGACAGGAGATACTAGTTGAGCCTTCTGTTGTGATTCGTCTTTTGATACTGGTCATGGCTCAGCCTGACTCTGGCCTAAATCAGTAAGGTCTTCAGTGGTGAAAGAAGGCTGTTTCTCTCCTTCCGGCTCTCTCTCCTCAGCTGCACTGATCTCACCGAGGGGCAGGAGCTCAGGCTGGTGGAGGGTTACAACAGAAGAGGTGAGAGAGGGAGCGTTAGGTGCGTGCAGCCGAGGCAGAAAGCCCATCTCAGCACAGCCCTGTTCTCTTGCAGGATGACTAGCCCCGTGTGTTGTACGGCAGTTTGAGTTCGCTAGGGGAATGAAGAACAAGCTGCCTCTAGCTTTTACCCACTGCTGGAGCATGGAGGCCCTGCGCTTAGTACAGCCTCCGCTCCGCAGAGAGTTTGGGGGTGGGAAGGGGCAAGAGACGTTAAAGCAGAACTAGTAGGGCCCTACAGAGGAGCAAAAGGTTGGTACAGTGGGAACTAGAATAGTGTCAATGCTTACTTAAATTCACTGAAGAAAGCCAGAATTATCTAGAATTGCTGGGCAGTGGTACCAGTATACTGCTCATCTTGTAGTTATTCATCGTACTGCTAGTCTGTCTCATCTTCCAAGCTGAGAGAGGAGAGAGCAGACTGGAAATCTCATCCAGCTGAGATTTACATGTACGTGATATACTTTTTTTTTTTTAATTTTAAACCCCTTTCTCCCTTTTCTTCCATGGCTCACACTCCCCTCCCCTGCATTTTTCTCTTAGGCAAAAGGTGCAGATGAAAAGGGAAAATGGAGGGAAGGAAGTAAATGAAAGGCTCCTGTTCCACGGAACCAAGACCTCCTTTGTGGAAGGCATCTGCACTCACAACTTCGACTGGAGAATTTGTGGAAACAATGGAACTAACTATGGAAATGGTAGGTAGAAGTGACTTTGTGTGTTAGATGTCTACTTAGACTCCCCTGCTACTAGAGCAATCAAAGTTTTGAAGTCTTTATAGAGGGTGAAAAAAAGAGGTAGGAATTGGTATTATGATCTTCCTTCCCTCTGGAGAGGACGAGAATTTGCTTTGTGTGTGGGTAAGTCTTTTCACAAGGTGTTAAGAGAATTAATGTAGGGATTTGAAAAAGCCTCTCTTGCTGCAGGTGGGATCTTCTGAAGGGTCAAGGTCATAATTTGAACTTGCCAGAGACATGGCTGCTACTCTTCATGGCAGGGGCCAAGAAGGGTGTGCATTCCCTCAGCATGATCATGGAAGGTCCTCATGTTTTCTTGTCTATCCCTCTCATCATAGCACACATACCTGTAGTGTTTTCATATGTTTTGGTTTTTTTTAAAATTATTCCTAAAATAGCAAACTCTGAATGGAAATTATGTGGTGAAATCCTTTCTCTTGTAAAAATTTCTATGGTATTATGTAAACTGAGTAAAAGAGGACCTGTTGGTCAAAGTTGGGTCAAATACCTCCTGAAAAACAAGGGGATGCTCAGTTTTCGCTGGCACTTTATACATATTCCTTATAACCATGTTTTCACGTCATTTTCTAGGAAGTTACTTTGCTAGAGATGCTTCCTATTCCCATGCATACTGTCAGCCTACGGTGAAAACAAACATCATGTTCGTGGCTCGTGTATTGGTTGGAGATTATGTTAAAGGCAATGCAGCCTATGTTCGCCCCCCGACAAAGTCTGTTGACGGGCTTCGGTTTTATGACAGCTGTGTGGACGACGAGTTAAATCCCTCCATTTTTGTTGTCTTTGAAAAAAACCAGATTTACCCGGAGTATATAATAGAGTATAAGGAGGAAGAAAAAAAATGTATTGTATCTTAGAGGGATCAGAGCTGTTTGTATCCCTCATCTTATTTTCCATATTGCAGGTGTTCTCACACTCGGTGACTTCTTTCTTTTATAATATTCTTTGGAATGTTAATCCAAAGAATTTCTGTATTGAGGAGGGCTGGCAAAACAGATGTTACATTTGTTGAGACTAATTGCCTTGTCTTCTCCTCTTCCTCTCTTAAATGAAGCATAGACATTTGGATAACCATAGCAGAAAAATCAGAATCGTGGGATGGGAAATCAAATGTTGTGACTTCTGTGGGCAAATAATTGTAAAGGCATTTTCTTAGAAATAGAGTAGAGAGGATTTCTCTTTGTGAACAGTTCAGTTAAGAGAAAAATTAACAGTACGGTAGTTTTTAAGCAAACTCTCAGGTTTTTAGTAGTCAAAGAGTCTTTTCAGTGCAGAATATGGCTGTCGTTGATCCTCTCATCTATCACAATTCTAAAGAAATCAGTGTATGTAAGAATGCTTTGACTTAGTTTTCCAAGTGCTGCTTGTTAGTTTCTGATACTAGTTTCAAGTTTAAAATGGTAAAACAAAAAAATAAAAAGCTTATTTTAAATCCATGTTGTTAAGTTCTCAAGTGGAGAAGTTTCATCTGTACCATGGCAGCTACTGTTTGGATCAGGAAATTGTTGGATCAGGGTTTTTTTGCAGATCTGCAGTAACTTGCTGTGTGACCTAGACAAAAATAGAGCTCAAGTGAAACTGTGAAAGTCACAACCTATGAATAAGCAGAGGCTAAAATTTGGTGTTGGCTGCAACTAATGGCTGTAAGTATATAAAGGCTGTGTCACAACGAGCCAGGCTTTCAAGTGAATGTGGCCACATATTTTCTCAATGTGAACATTTGCTTAGCAAATGCTATAGGACAGGAGAAGCATCTTAAGGAGCATTGGTATTTTCTGTCCTATTTGTATACGTTAATTTTCGTTTTTCCAGAAATAGGACATGACTGGAAGAGACCGGTTATGTTCTCTCGAGGCCAGTGGTAGAACTGCTGTCCTAAGACACTTTGTATACGTGTTTTGTTGCCCACATTGCGTTGGGCAACTCACTGACAAGTGTAGTTCCTCGTTGTGTCTTGAGGTAGCTGTGGGTGACCCAGGATACTGCTTCCCCGGGACTGCTTTTGATAAACTTGCTTTGTCTCCATCAGTGACGTACAACCCTACTAACGGTGGTTAAGCCCTCTTTTATTAAGTTACATGCTTTTTATTGTCCCAAAAAGGAAATACAGAAACTCATATAGAGTTTCTACTGAATTTTAATAAGGAGTTTGTAAGTTAATTGAACTGAATACCCTCTGTACAAAGATGTCTTATTCAGGCAGTCTAGCTGTTAAGAGGGAAACCCTTGCCGAGGACAGAGGAGCAGTAAGTTTTGCTTTCAGATAAGGTGTACGGTAACATGAATAACCTCCCAGTTATTTGCATCTTCAGTACAGATCCGTCAACCACACGTACTACTCAAAGTTTGCAAGTTACCAGGAGGATGGGGAAATATATAAAACTAGGAAATCTTATTAAAATTACTGTCTTAGAACTAAATGAAAACATGCGTCAGTAATGCATTAAAAGGGGAAGATTTTACCACTTTTTAAGATCTCTCTCACTTTTGTTTGCCTGTAGTTCCTGAATCGTTGAGTTTTGCCATATTTGCAAATAAAATGTGTTTTCGCTCACTTTTTGCTCATTAGTGTGCAGTTTGTCTCCGTACATAAACTTAACAGCACAACTAAACAGACCTAGTGAACTAGCCACTTACTTAATACATGTCCTCACTGTCTTCCTTTCATCTGTGTTTCTGAACCGGGGAACTGCATGGATGTAGTTTTACATTTTAGTGTAGACGCTTAGCTAAGTATGAAGGATACAATACAGTCTGATTCACGGAGAATATTTCTGTACATGAACTTCCTAACTAAGATACCCTTAAGTGCTGTAGCAGTTTGGTTGGACTCCATGTAATTAAACAGCTGCTCTGAGCCATTGTTGAAGTCCTAAAAAAAGGGGAGAGAGTAAGGTGAAGTAGTAGCAGAACTACTGGTTTTAATATGTAGAAGTAGTCAGGTATTGACTTATTCTAAGGATGCACTTTTTTTAACATCTCGATGAGTTACTTCTAAAGAATCTGAACTAAGCACCTGTAAGACACAGTGCTGCACTTCCCCCCACCCCTGTAAGCTACGAGACAGGCAAGCGTATGGGGAATGCCAGTCAGATGCTGACATCTTAAAATCAATCCAAATCACAAAATCTAGAGGAAGGACAAGGGAAGAAACGGGAACTCCGGTGCTGTGCTTCACATTGTCAAAACTGCACTTCCGTAAGTCTGGCAAGAAATGCTGCTGGGTAGGGGCACAACTCCCGTGCGCAGGATATTGGCTATTTAATCAGTGCGGGGTTGGACTGTAAATGAGAGCTGCTCTGGGGAAGGAAGGAAAGAAGACAAGAACTTCAGTCTGGGTAACTGAGCTGAAGAGGGAAGAAAGCTAGAAAAAACATACTCTGAATGCAGGAGGATGGGGCATAAAGAAAAAAAGGTTCTCCCACCTACTGGCACCCCAGCCTCTTCCTAACTGGTGCCGAGAAAAACAGCTTGCAAGAGAAATGCCGTGCTTGCCACAGGCCGGCAGTAATCCTTGCCCTTTGAGCTCGGTAGAAGGCATAGTGTGTGAGAGGAAAGGAATAATGCCTTGTCTGGCAGCTTATGTAGCCACTGGGCTGAATTATGGTTCCAGTTGTTGCTGCAACAAGCCAGCTTCAAGGTAAGACCAAATCAAAGTGTGTTTTCATGATAACCAACAGAATTTTGGAATTCTTTTTTTTTCATCCTAGTGACTCCGAGCAGAAACCACATTTGCTTTTTTCTGGCAATCCTAGCTCTGTCTACTGAGACTGCCGCTTGCGGGCCCTGTTTTTGTCTGAAATAGCCTACGCATGATAATAGCACTTCGATTTGTCACTGCTGATGCTTTTCTTGGATTTCTGGATTGGCTAAAAGCAGGTTATTGACTGCCCTGCTGCATCTGCCTCATTCACTAGCCTTATGTTATCATCTGATTAATGGCTTTCAGGGAATTCAACAGGTGCAGAACAAGCTGGTTCAGAAAAGGCTAAAAATGCATTTGCTAAAGGCACATTCTGTGTTTAATCCAGTAACCTCACCTTCTTTTAGGCACGGCATTATAGGGGCTCTTCATGAGCACAGATACTGCTGCTCTTGAGTTCTGGATGCCTTCTTTTTGTTCCTGTTTTTAGACCGAAGGAATAACTACTTCTCATGTCCCAAGACACAGGAAGAGTTTAGAGAATAGCACCACAGAATGTGTTATGAGCAGTACCACCGTACATTTTTTATTTAAAAAAAAAAAAACAAGTTTGTTGCATTTTACCTCTCTCTATATATAATTTTTTCCAGTTTACCCCTGTGAGCTGGGGTGCCAACCAGCTAGTTTGCTTACAATGAAGCGTGGGCCAGATGCAATCCTAGCAGTCAGCTGGCAGCAGCTCTGTTAGTCATGTCTCCTCCCTCCACCCCGCCCAAAACCCTTCAAGTATTAAGATGGGGAGTGTTTTGAGGTATCTGTGAACTGGAATGGTGTGAGCACAGTTTCCTAGCAAGGCTCTGGGGCTTTGTTTCACTTCCTGGCACATTCAAGCCCCTGCAAAAAAAGATGCTACGTTGGTGACATCTCTGAAGAAGTGAAAGCTGTGAATGTGCAGCCCTCTGGCACAGCTGCTCTTTGGGTTCTTACATCTCAAAGACAAGGCAGCTCCGAGTGGCAGTCTGCAGGACAAATGCAATGCCATTTTTCAGGAAAAAAGACTCGAGGCCTCAGAACAAGCCCATTCACCAATGCCAAGTGTTGTCGTGGCCGGCGAGACTGCATGGTGGCTGTACACAGGTAGGTACAATATCCTCTCGAAAGGTCTTGGTCAGTAGCTATGCATGCTTTAAAGAAGTTAGTTAAAGAAGCTATCAGCTGCAGAGGTTCCTGCAGCTGACTGAGGCCTTTATTTTGTATTTGAAAAGGTCTATATGTATGCCTTTATCAGGAAAATGTGGGTTGAAAACTTGTTTAAAAACACATGCTTCACCCTGCATTAATAAATCTGGTCTTGATTTGCAAACAACAACAACAAAAAGACTCAAAACCAAGGTACCTGCTATGATAGTTGGTCATGATACCACTGAACCTGTGACAGGCTTTCTTCACCAACAAAACCAAGAAGCTGTAGTACTGGAGGGCTTTGGGGTTGAGTGGCAGGAGCCTAGGCAAGGCCTTGGATGATGGGCGACAGCTGTGCTTTCACAGCAGTCTCCTATACCTACCACAAATCATCACGGTAGGTTTTAGTACAGCTTAACAGCACTAACAGTCTAAACCAAGTCTTTAACAACTCTTTTAATGGGTCCTAAAAGCTGGACCCTCTGCAGCAATGATTTTCTAAAGAACCTTTTGGTTCAGCTTGCTTGATGTTAACGGAATTGTTATAAATACGGCAGTACCAGGTCTGACAGTAGTGAAGTCCAATAGAGCATCACCAGCTCCCTGTTTATTGCACTGAGCTACAAGAAACAGCCAATACTGAAGAACCCGTAGAGGTAGCTGAGCTGATGGTGTACGTGGTCTCAGCACAGATGACTAAGTAAGCAGTTCAGAAAAGGCTTGTAAAGTGGGGGTATTGCCCTTGCAGCCACTCTGGGGATCATGAAAAAATACCGTCAAAGTTAAAAGTAGACATTTCCTGATGTAATGCTGGGGGGGAGAGTTACTGCCTGGGCTCAAATTCTGACGTACAGCACAGAGGACAATTATCTCTGCCCCTCTTAATCCAGAAAAAAAGTGCCACGGAGGCGGGGAGGGATGGCCTGCTAACTTTAACAGGTGTGGCAAAGACAGAACAAAAGCAAGGATGGGGATGTGTTTGTATTTGCATAACCTGTGCAAAAACTGTGTCTTTTTTGTAAGCAGCAGATGTTTATATAAAGTTTGTATCAACTGCTTTTCAACTGCTCTGCTTAGATATAAAAAGGTGAGCTTTTAGGAGTCAGCATGGTCCTTGGTCAAGTTCTTCCTCTCCTATTGTTCTTCCTACTGAGCTACCTGCTTGTTAATTATTTTCCATAATGGTAACTGAAAACGATTCAGCATAGCATGGTGAAGCAAGAGAGAATGGTTCGAGTATTTTAGATAAAAATAAGGGGAAGATAAGGCAGAAAACCAGTTCTCATTTGTGGGCAAAATGTGTAGTACTAGTTGAATGAAAAAGCTTCCAGTCACTTTCATGGAAGCAAAGAGGATGCATACTGTTACAGGTTTATGAAATTAAGCTGAATAGCCCATTTAAAAGCTTCATCCATACATGCGAAGAAGTCATATACTTGTCGCTCAACTGAGCACATCTTTGAATTTATTGATGTAAAGCAGACAAAATTCTCAATCACATGTCAAAAGTACTACAAAACATCATTCTTAAATTTGTGTAGCAATGGGTCACATAAACTACGCACTTCAGAGCCAGCCACCAGATTTCTCAGGCTTTTGTTCCCTAATAAGATTTGTTATATTCCTTGAGTAAAAAGTTACCTGTCTAAAGTCATTGCTTGAAATGCACTGATTAAAAATAATAGTAAAAATCTAGCGTGACAGAGTGAGCCAGTCAGTCATGGCTGGACAGATAAAGCAGTGATGAAGCTGAAGAACAGGGAACTATGACTGTCTGCAGAATTCAAAAGGCTGCAGGCAAGGATGCAATTTGTGAAACCATATTATCATTGACTTAAAAACAAACTATTTTTTCCTCAAGTGAGGGCTGGGGGAAGAAGGGTGGCACCAAGGCACATCCACATCTTACTCCTCTATGCAGGAACTCCAGGGGAAGTGCAGGGCCAGCTGTGAAAGTGCTTTTTTAGGTCAAAAGGAAACGGGATGTGGGATGGGGCTGCTGTGGGACATGGGGAAGAGTGAGCTAGACAGGAAGGAGGGGCAGGCGTGTGTGTCCAGGAGAGCTTGCAGATGTGATACCAAAGCCAGAGCTTGGGCAGTGGAAGAGCGTGGCATTTCTATTCAGGAAGAAGAAGAGGAGGCATTAGTTCAGCTTCAGTTTGAAATATCATCTTTCCCTTCATTAGGGATTTCTGGATTACTGTTGCAAGACAATCTGTTAGCTCTGCTACGCTGCAGGAATCCAGAGGCACCAGAACTTCACAGAGGCACATGGCTCATATCATGCCTCATTTGCAGCACCAAAGCTTGTCACATCACTTGTGCCGGGACAAAGCTTTGTGTCTTCCCTCTCTTTCCATGGCAGAAGCTCCCTTCCAGTCTTCACCTGCTCTGAGATACCTCTATAAACACTGGTTTTAAACTCTACTTTGCTAACATGTAGGGATTCGTGCTATTGAGATGATAGTAAAGCCTGACTTTCCAAAAGCTCAGGTAAGCACAAAGACACCAGTCCAAACTACCATGTTTTAGCTGAAATCCAGGCTTTTTCTGAAAGATTTAAAAGGGCCAAGGGAGTATGTGTTAGAATAGTCGCAGTCAGCTATTATCCCTCTTGTCTGCTTTCATTCACATAGTAATTTCAGAAAGCTCTGAGGCGCTATATTGAAAGGAAAAAGT